TCAGCTGAGAAATAAGAGTTTAGACTTGTTGACTCTCCTGTGTCAATAACTTTTCTTTTTTCCTGAGCTACTCAGGATTCATTCCTTGTGTTTGGTTCTGGAAAGTTTGATTCTACTTCGTCTTGATGGTTTTCTCGTGTCTGTCCTGTGTGGGGTTGAATACACAGCTTCTTGCCTTTCGTGGTATTAGGGAAATTGTCTTCCAACAGCCTTTGTGCAATTTTCTCTGTGATATTTTGCATCTCTTCTGTTCTGGAATTCTGTTCACACATAAGTTATTCCACTGACGTCCTGCATGACTCATTGGCTTGTTTTCCATTTTTCCTGATTGTTCCTCTAGCAAAATAGTATAAGAAATTTGTCTTCGGGCTCACTAATCCAACTCCCAACGAATCATTTCTAGTTCTTTGCCCTTTCAATGCATTAGCTATATCTAAAATCTTGGTCTCTTAAATTTCTGTTTGTCGTTTTGGCCGGGTTTCTAATTATACATTTATTTTGTCACTTTGTTCTTATAATATTTCCCTTGATTCTTCTAAAATGCTTTCTTGGTTTTCACCTGCAGCTTTCTTGATCTTTTTCTCAATCAACTGAAAGTAACTACTATTATTCTTTCGAATTTCCTGTCAGGTGGTTCCAGGGCCGTTTTTCCCTCAGAAAAGTATTCTAGCCCCGCGCTCTGGTCCCTTGTTCCAGCTACTCTGTCTTCTTTCTTTTTTAAGGGAGAAATTGACACATTCAACTTTATTAAATGTCACAGTTCATCAGAGGGTAGCAAAAGTGAGTGAAAAGATAAGTTACATACTGGGGGGAAATTTTACAGAGGTTTATAAAAGAAGCTCTATAAATCACAGATAGGATTAACAGTGGGGGGAATACACACAATCTTTTTTATTTTATTACTCAAAAACTTTGTCTTATTATAGTACATGGGCTACAGTTGGTGGGAGACGGGAGACGTACTGGACAACCACTGCATTGGTTAGCATCGGATGCCCATCCCAACGGCTGTGAACGTGCCAAAACACCGCCACTCTGCATCATGATTTTCCCAAAGGCAGCACACCAGCTCCCGACCCTGCATTCCAATCCTGAGACAGGACAAGGTGACAAAGAATGCCCAGGGTGCGACCCAGCACAAAGCCCATCTTCAGAGGTCGAAGCAGCTTGGTCGGGACTGCCGTAGGGACTCATGGCCACCAGCATCTCACTTCTTGGTGTGAATTGAAATTGTCTTTTGTTTCTGCGATCTGGCGATACTCAAACTGTTTGCCTTCCATTGGTGACTGTATGCTGGTGCTTCCTTAGGCACCCGCCGCCTGTCTTCTGGTGGGTGTGATCGAGCATGTGGGTGTGAGCACAGTCCTCTGTTCCCTGTCCATGTGCACAGTTGAGTGTGGGTTTGGCAGGTATTGTCTGCTGTCTGTTGATGGTTGAGTGGTGCGAGAGTGGGTAGTGGCCCTTGCCCAGTAGGTGGTAGTGCAGGAAGTATGGGAGTGGCTGGACTTTGTGGACAGAGTTGTTGTCTTCTATCAAGTAGAACAAGAAAAGAGGAAAATAAGTGGAAAATAGAAAATAATAAAGAAGAAATCAGGGCAAAGCAGGAAGACAATAGTAAGAACAAGAAACGTAGTACCTAGAAAGAGAAAAGAGTAAAGGGAAATAAAAACAAGGGAAGAGGAAAGAAATACAATCAACCAAAGTAGGGTGGAGGGAAGAAAAGAGAAATATAAAAGAAGATAGTGAAGAAAACACCTGTGAATAAAGAAGGGAAGCGTAAGAAGAAACGAGAGACAGACGAGAACGCGAGAAGGAGACAGGAAAGCAGAGAAGGATTACAAACACGCGGAGGGTCACAAGGGAGACACGGGAGGCAGTGCCCAGAGGGAAGAAAACTGTGGGAGATGAGCATCCAATGTGGTCAGCCCCTCTACTTGCCAAGGAGCCCACTGAGTGTGAGGGTGTGTGTGTGTGGGGGGGGGCATGCTTGCTGCTGGTGGAGTTCCTGCCAGCCTTGCTGTTGTCTGAGGTCAGGGTATTTGATCAGAAGTAGCTCCTGTCAGCTTAGAAGGATGCTGAAGTTAGGGTGCTTGTTCCCAGAAGGAACCCTTTCAGGCTCAGATGATAACGGGGGCAGGATGGCTGATTATGGAAGAAGTTCTTGGTCGCCCAAGGGTGACTGGGGACCAGCACTGAGTATTCTGTTGCCTCTAGAATTGGGGTGGTATACCAGAAAGCAGACTCATGAGGGCAAGGCTCTGATCTCCGATGGAGCTGGGGCTGTGCCTGTGGGGTGGGGTGGGATGGGGATGGGGATGGGGGGAATCACTGGCTACGGGGTAGGTGTGGGTGAGGATTGGCCATGTTTCTGGTCACCAGGAGGATATGGCAACAAGGGAGAATCCCATCTTTCTCTTCACCAACCACTAAGGTGGGCTTGTGTTGGCAGACTGATCCGATGTTACTTGCTGAAGTTCAGGATGGCTGTGCCAGGTCAGACCCGCCAACATTCACCTGTCTGTCTCCTTTCTCACTGCTTCTGGGACACAGGACTCAGCACATGTCTCCACCCTTTCCTCTGAAACTCAGGGTTCCTGGATTACCATCGGTATCTCTCTCATCTGCCCTCTCATGCCTTTGATGTAGAGCGTCTGTGTAGCATGTCTGCCTAGTCTGTCATTTTGCAGGAAGTGCAATTTGGAAGATATGCGTTCGTCACATTCAGCTGTAATCCACACTGAAGCCTGTCGTCTTTGATCTTCATCAGTAGGTACTTCGACAAGTACTTTCACCAAGCAAGGTTGTACCATGTGCATACTGCAGGTTGTTGACGAGTCTTCCTCCAATCCCAACGCCACATTCGTCATATAGTTCAGCTTCCGCATTATTTGTTTTGCATATAGATTGAAAAAGGATGGTGAAAGGATACAACCCTGATACACACCTTCCCTGATTTTAAACCTCACCGTGTATCCTTGATCTGTTCAAAACTGCCTGTTGGTGTGTGCGCAGGGTCTGCATAAACACATGAGTAGTAGTAAACCAAACTGACTCATGGCGACCCTGCAGGATGGATAGAACTTCCCCTGTGGGTTTCTGAGCAGTTCGAAACCACCAGCTGCTCCTCGGGAGAAAAAGAAGACTGTGTACTCCCAGAAAGCTGCAGTCTCAGAAACCCACAGGAGGTAGTTCCACCTGTCGCGCAGGATCACTATGAGTCAGCCTGGCCTTAGTGGCAGTGAGTTGAGTTTGAAGGCAACACAGGGCTTGGTGGTCTCTTGGACTCTTTTAGACTCAGTCTTTTCTTTGTACTTAGAATGATCTTCAAGACCCATCTCAAAGATGACCGCCCTTGGAAAGTCTTCCTGGACCCTGCTGCTACCACCCAGCCCTTGCTCACCCTGACCCACCAAAAGTGGTGCCTTCTTGTTTGAACTCATGTTAATGGAGTTTGGTGTTCTACTTTGCAGTCTGTAGACCAAAAATACGACTTTCTGCAACCAGTGGTAATCAAGCCTCCTCGTAATTTCTGCACATTCCTCGGACTTTATTTTTCGTGGTTTCTGCGCTCTTGGATTTCGGGAATATCTCTTTTTCCCGTCGCATCAACCTAGACGTGAAACTCAAGCCCATCATTAAGGTTCAACCCTCCTCTGGCCCAAAGAATTTTGTGAGTTTGATAGCTCAATGCAGAAGGGAGGGGGGAGGTTAAATCGTACATGCATAGCCCTCTAACTAGGTTTCTTGTCTTTTTATCCCAATTTTCTTTCTAAGTAGAAATAGTCTTCGGTTTGTCCTGTGTGTAATTCTTTAACATTCTTCTCATGGGCTTTTCTGGTGGTTATGTGAGGATTTGCTGATTGAATGTTGGTCCATTAAGTAAGACATGGTGACAAGCAAAGCAACATGCCTTATCCCTCTAAGAAAGTGGTTCTCGACCTGGGGGTCGCCACCCCTTTGGGGGTTGAGCGATCCTTTCACAGGGGTCGCCTGATTCATAACGGTAGCAAAATGACAGTGATGCAGTAGCAACGAAAATACTGGTTGGGGGTCACCACCACGTGAGGAACTGTTTGAAAGGGTCATGGCGTGAGGAAGGTGGAGAACCCCTGTTCTAAGAGAAGGTCTTCTTCCAACTGCTAAGAGAATGCAATTCATCTCATCAAATTTGAGGTAGTTATTTTCGCACGTGTTTTCTCTTTCCAGATAACAGCTTCTTCAGAGAAAGGAACTATTCCTTCTTCACCTTTCTGGTTCCCCCAGCCCCTGTTTGAGAAGTGGGTGGTCCAGAAATGTCTATTGCGTACAGTACATGAGTGTACTATATGTCATTTCAGTCTTTTAATAACAGAGACAAGTAAGCTTTTTTAAAAGTAGATTTTCTTCATTATAAGCAGCCAGCCCCCCTTGTGTACAATCAAAACACCAACTGTGCTTTCTTTGCTCAGAACATGACATTTATTAGGAAAGGACAGAACACACAGCATCACCGATACCATGGAAACAACCACCAGGGATGATCATTGTGGTCCCAAGCACGGAGTCACGTGTGGAACCATGGAAGACTCCAGCCGCCTTCTTGGAAGCTGAATGGTGGGAAATACCCTCCATGCTCCACAGTGACATCCGAAGAAGTTTTCAGAGCTTAAACTCTAGTGCCTTTGGTTTCAGAGAAACAAATGTAGGTCAATAGGAACTAAAAGTAGACCACACACAAAAAGGCAAACTTAACCTTGTGATCCGTTCTTAAGGATACATTTTACAACACCTCACTCCCTTTCAACGCAACTGGCCAATCAGAAATACTGTATTCAAAGCAATACTCTATTCTGCAGTGGAGGTTCAAAGCGTGGATTGCAGACAGTAATCAGGTGGAGCTGCGAGGCTCATAGACTCGTTAGTTGCCATAGAAGCTGGTCCCGTCGTCCAGAAGTGATGGAGAAGACCATCAGTTCAGATATCCTGTGTCCTGAGCAAATCGGAAACCAGCTGTGTCGCTTTCAGCAGGTGGGCTCACAGCAGTAGCAGCAGCAGGCTGGGCGGCAGGCCGACTGTCCACAGTAGGATGGGCGGCAGCAGGACGCCTGGGCATGGTGCAGCTGGCAGCAGGTTGGGGGTGTGCAGGTCACCACGCAGCAGGGGGGCAGGCAGGTGCCCTCCACCCGGCAGTCTGGGCGGCACCACCTGACACGGCAGGTTGAACCTCCATGGCCACCC